CCTTTGCGTTTCTGATTATGAAGATCACAAGTCCCGGTACCTTGGGCTACTTTATACAAACATCACATCCTGGCCCACAATCCTGACCTCTCCTCTGAACCTTCTGGGGCATCCGCTTTCGCCAACACTCAGTTCTTTCTTTGGTAACATGGTCACTCGCAGTTCAGCAATCCAGCAGGGTACGACTCGCGGGGTAGTGAGTGGGGAGTACAAAGTCAGGGCGGAACCGCCGGTGAACGGCAAGGCCTCGTCCCTAAGAGGGTGGATGGCCAGCCCCGCGGCTGCACTTGGCGTCTTCACCCTCCTCTGTGAAGAGGGACAGGGGGAGTCAGGACCTAGACTCGACCCGGCAGCCTCACAGGCCGCGGGCGACCCGGGACAAGTTTCGTGACCTGTGTCGCGGCGTCCCCCAGGATGCCCGTCTGCAGCGTCAGAGCTCGGGGCCGCCGGGCCGCACGGTCAGGACGGCACACCAGTTCACAACGCCCACAGTTCTGGGAGCAGGCACTCGGGCGCAGGCGCCGCGCGGAGCATCGCGGGAGTCGCGCCGTCTGACGTCATTAGGAGGCGCCCGCGCGCGGGACCCGCCTGCAGCCTGGCCGCTGTGCCCTGGAGCTCGGGCTACCTGCACGCGGTCTTCGAGCCTTTGCCTCTGCGAGGCCTCTCCCGGCGTTTGCCGTTTCGGTCGTGCGGAGGACCGGGATGAGAAGGAGCAAGGCCAGGGATATCGCTGGCCTCCGACATTATGTCGGTCACGGGAGTTCGCATTCCTTAGTCGTCTCCGGCTCTGAGCCGTCCCTGACTCCCGAGTGGGGATCGGAGGCCCTGGACAAGTTTCTAACACTGCAAGTTTCCCTCGTGCTATTTGTCACCGTTAGCTACTCTTATTAGGTGAAATTCTCGCCGCTATTAGATTGTGAGCTGCGGGAGGGCAGCCCTAGACTAATATATTAGTAGAGTTCATGTTAAAATTCTTCCGTATCACATAAGCAAGGAGATTTAGTCTTTCTAGTTTAAACTATATATGTCTTCCTATCTCTTTTTAAGGCATTGGAAGAAATCTGTAACATTGGTTGTAGAGAGAGGAACTGGATGGCCGAAGAGGGTGTTCTTTTCCCTCAACATCTTTTAGTTCCGTGCTCAAGTATTACCTCGTTGAATTTTTAGATTGAAAATAATTTTAAATTTCAATAAGGCATATGTAGAGCTCTAGGACCTTTTAGGGAACAGAGTTTAAAAGCCGTCCTTTGATATTTGGTTTGATAAATGAGAAGTAACTTAGCAAAGCCACACTGTAGGTCCGGGAATCATAAGATGCCACAAATTTTTCTCCTTGTATTTGGGGAAAGAAGAGAGAGGTTCCATCACTTCCGTTTATCTCCCCTTTCTCATTTTCTGTTATTTTCTCTTCATTTTGACATAAAGTTTCTCTGAACAGAGACATATTTGGTTGAGTTCAAGAAATAAAATCCCCAGTTATTTTTTTATGCTGTTACCTGCTAGGACTGGTACTATCACTTTCTTGTTGTTTTTTGTTTTTTATTTATTTTTGTGGCTGGCCTCTGCAGGGATCCGAACCCTTGACTTTGGTGTTATCAGCATCAGGCTCTCACAAAGTGAGCTCACTGGCCATGTTTTTTGAGAGTGAAGTTGAAACACTTGTTCAAGTCAGTTATTTTTCATCTCAACTGGCCTATGTGCCTTTCTGAATTCCTGACCCACGGAATCTATCTGAAACATGAAAAAGTGGAAAGAGTAGGGCTGGCCAGTTATCCCAGTGGTTAGAGCATGGTGAGCTAACTGGCCAGCCCTATTCGTTCCACTTTTCCATGTTTCAAATTTTTCATAAGAAGTTGAGAGAAAAAAAATATCCTTGCCATAAGCCATCCATGGATGAAGGGGAAAAGCCTGCTAACCTCTGTGGCAGGACAGACCTTGTTTCCTCCAAGGCATCTTCTTGGGTCAGGAGAGTGTGGTGGGAGAAGGTATGGGTTGGCAGGCTGTCAGTTTCTTCCATCTCTAGGCCTCAGTTTCCCATTTGGAAAATGAAGTTGGATTAGATTCAGATAGATCCAAAAAGTTCCTTCTAAGATTGTAGGTATTTATTCTAGTTATCTATTGCTATGTAACAAATTACTCCAAATCAATAGCTTAAAACTGCCATTTTATTATATTCATGGATTCTGTGGGTCAGGAATTCAGAAAGGACAGTTTGTCTCTGCCCCATGGTGTCTGGGGCCTCAGTTGGGAAAACTTTAAGGCTTGAGTGATTTTAATGGCTAGGGGCAGGAATCGTTTGGAGGTTATCATCATTCACGTTTGGCAGATGATGCTGATATAGGTTGGGACCAGTGGCTGTTGGACCTATATGTACCCTATCCACGTGGCCTCAGACTCTTACACGGAGGCTTATGGCTCTAAAGGTGAATGTCCCAAGAGAACCAGGTAGAAGCTGTATATCCTTTTATCTTTTTTTTTTTTTTTTAAAGATGACCGGTAAGGGGATCTTAACCCTTGACTTGGTGTTGTCAGCACCACGCTCAGCCAGTGAGCGAACCGGCCATCCCTATATGGGATCCGAACCCGGGGCCTTGGTGTTATCAGCACGGCACTCTCCCGAGTGAGCCACGGGCCGGCCCTGTATATCCTTTTATGACCTAGCTTCAAAAGTCACATAATGTCATTTCTGCCATAGTGCCAGATTCAGAGACCCCACTTCTCAGTGGAAGGAGCATCAAACCCACAGTGTAAGAGAAGAGCATGTGGGCTGGGAAACAACAGTTCAATAGCTTTTAGATGTAGAAGATATTGACTAAGAAGTTATTAATGAGATAGATATAAAACCCATGTATTTTAGAGGACCAAAGTCCTTAGTCTAGGCCAAAGCCTATAGTTTAGAAGGACCAAAGTCCTGTAGTTTAGGAGGCCAAAGCCTCTAGTTTTGGGGGCCAAAGCCCAACCCTTTAGGAAAACTCGTAGAAATGCTAAGATTAAGAAAGACCAGAAAACTTTCATAGGACTTAAAGCCTTTGATATAGATAAGAGAATTGAAACACAGCAAAGAGTGATTGCTCTGGGGGCAGCTGCCCTTGGTGCAGCTAAATGATGGGAAAGTATGTAAGCTAAAACCTCCAAAGCTATTCTGCTAGTTAGTGCTTGGGGGATGCTCCACATCTTGCCCTAAGCTGTTTCTTTGAGTTTCTTGGGGAGTTAGGTGCTTTGGTGATTATCTCATTGTTTCCTTTTGTAGTCACCTAGTCAGTTTTATGACTTCTTTTGATGGTAAATTGCTTAAACTACTTTAAGTTACACCTGCTTTAATGAAGATCATCTCCTGGCCAGTTTGTTTATGTTTTCACTATGATTGATTAACCACCTGTTTTTCTTCTGTAACTTTCTTGTCTTTACAATAAAAACTAAAACAAAAACTGACTCGGGGCTGTGCCTGGCTCTTCTCTCATGAAGGAGTTTTCCCTTGGTGCAGTCCCATTGGGCTTCTCATTGCTCTGAATACATGGGCTCTGAGTAATCTTTTTTGTCTCCATCACTCTGCAAGAGATGACATTTAAAACATATTGCAAATACACTGCCACAGCACTCCCTAGTGTAGCTCCATAGCTGCTTGTGTCTCAGCTGGCTCCCAGACTGCCCTCTGAGCAAAGTGGCCACCCCCTTCCCCAACACTCTGTTCTGGCTTGTTACTACACTGAATAAGCCCTGCACTAGGGCTTCAGTGTATGAGAACTGAAGCCTATGAACAGAGCTTTAACATGAATAAATTACTTGAAATTTAGGACTTTACTTGAGCCTTTCTTCCCAAAGTTTTAAATTTCGTGTGTGTGTGTGTGTGTTTTAAAAATGACCAGTAAGGGGATCTTAAGCCTTGACTTGGTGTTGTCAGCACCACACTCTCCCAAGTGAGCCAACTGACATCCCTATATAGGGATCTGAACCTGTGGCCTTGGTGTTATCAACACCACACTCTCTCAAGTGAGCCATGGGCCGGCCCTCCAAAGTTTTAAATTTCTAAAAATATCAATTCCTTGACACACTATTCTCATGGCTTCCATTATCAGCTCTGTATGAACAATTCATCAGATCTTGAGACTGGACGTATTTTCTAAGCCTCAGGTAGGGATTGCCAGCTAATTACTGGTTATTTCCACCTGTATGAATTGCCATTATCTCAACTGGACTCTCATGCTCCAAAACTGTTCATTCAGACTTACACTGTCTTCTAATTGCTTTACCACTGTTCCAAGCAACCAGGCCTAAAATCTTGCCAATCTGACCTTCAACCCCCTAGACCAAATCTGTTTCGAAATGCCACGTTTCCTATAACAACCTCTTAATCCACATCCTCATTGCTTCCTCTTGGGGTTATATCACTTTCCTCTAAATGGCCTTCCTTCCACTATTCCCACCTTTATAGAACCCACAGCTAAACTATTCCCATTGTGTTACATCCTTTATACACCTTCAGCAGCTCTTCAAGCTTCTATCTGGCTTTTAGGGTTCCCCAAAGTATTCCAGTATACTGCTGTGCACTTCCATTTACCAGTGGCCCCATTCAGGCAGATGTAGTTTCCCACTGTCCAATGACAACACCATCTAGACTCCTTGGGACAGTGTATCACATTTTGCCCTGCATTATAACCCAAAATGATGATAGAATTGAGCGACTTAGTTTAGGGGAAAGGGAAAAGGTGTGGGTGGAGGCTACAGCCTCTAAAAGGTTGTGTTCTATGGGCAGTTGGTAGACAAAGGAGTAGGGTGATTTATAAAAGGAAAGCATCTGTCTACTATATTTTATCTTCTCCTTAGGTACAGTGGGGTAAACAGACGGGGGGTTAAGTTCGTTTTGTATCCTTTTGAATTAGTCCAGAAAACTGTCCAGTATTTATAATAAGCTTGAGATTTAGTTATGCCTTTGATAAAAGAGGTTCAAATCCAGAACGGGAGTCAGAAGAAAAAAAAGACTTTAATGAAAGACTGTTTCATAAATTATAAAAGTACAGATTCAATCACAGATTTAATTAAAAAAGGAACATATCTTACACAGGATTTTGTAAGTTAGAAATCTTACACCTATACAGTCTGTACAGAAGATGCACAAACCTTCCACAGCTCACAGAGGAAAGAGTGTATAGACAATTTTGGTAAGGAGTTGAGGAACGATTCAAAACTAGTTTACAGAGAGAGAATCAGGAGGCAGAAAATGCTTCAAGAGGCACGGTCCTCAGAAATTGTTCTGGAATGCCGTTTCACTTGTATCAGTGTCATGTTCCTGGATGAGAGAATAAGACATAGAATTTTAGTATTTCAGTACAAAGTCTGAAATGTGAATGCTCTGGTGTTTTGGACTTTAATTAGAGATGTGGAGTCATCATTAATTGGGACACATAGATAATCTCTGGCTTTATGGCTGAATCCAACCCAAGAATCAAGTTTTCCCTACCAGGATAGGGCTTTGCACTGCTGCTTATCACCCCCTTATGAGTGAGTAGCAAATACAGTTGGAGGCACTGGTGCAAAGACCACAGCAGCTTTCTTACCTGGGCCTTCCTCCATCCCACCAGGGTGAGTACTGCTGGGAATCTACCTGAGCCCCCATTCCACATTTCACTGTTGAGTAGACAATCTCAGAGCACTGTAATTGCTTATATACTCCCGGCTCCCACTGCACATAGCTCTGAGAGAGACAGCAAGGACTGCATTCATCTTGCTGCTATGGCCCCAACATCTAGCCCCATGTCTGGCACACATGAGGCATACAGCAAAACACTGCCAAATGAGCCCAGCAGAGTCACCCCCTTCCAGTAGAGGCTCAGACCCTAACCGGTCTTTTCACTTAGCATCTAATATCCTAAGCTTATATATTGCCTGCTTACATTAAAAATAAACCAAAAAACTTTTTTTCCTATAAAAGTGACACATTCATTACAGAAACTTTAATAGAGAAGGAAAATAAAAATCACTCAAACACTGTACATGTGAATAAGTATCTATGTTCTCTTTTACTATGCAAAATAGATAAATGTGTATGTATATTTTGTAAAGAAAAATGGAATTTCTATTTACACTATTTTATAGCCCCCCCTCCCCCATTTACTGTATCATGAATGTACTCCCAAGTCCTCAAACATTCTTTTAAAACATTTTTAATTATTATTTTTTTCGGTGGCTGGCTAATATGGGAATCCAAACCCATGACTTTGGTGTTATCAGCACCATGCTGGCCAGTGAACTAACTGGCCAGCCTTAAAACATTTTTAATCTGAGAGATACACTCTAGGATACTTAACAAGTTCCCTACTGATGAAGATTTTTCTTCTATTAAAACAATGGTGCACTGAGCATCCTAGCTGACAAATCTGCACATATTCATAATTATATAATTCAAACAAATTCTGTCTATTAGAATTGATGGGTAGGGCCGGCCCATGGTACACTTGGGAGAGTGCGGTGCTGATAACACCAAGGCCGGATCACTATATGGGGATGGCCAGTTGGCTCACTTGGGAGAGTGTGGTGCTGACAACACCAAGCCAAGGGTTAAGATCCCCTTACTGGTCATCTTTAAAAAAAAAAAAAAAAAGAATTAATGGGTCAAAGGTGTATACATTTTTAGGGCTTCTGAATGGTATAAAAATACCTCTAGAAAAGTGGAACCAACTTATTCTCCCATCAGTGGTATATGAATGCCTATTTACCAACACAGTTGGGCATTACATTTTAGAAATCCTTTCAAGGGGATGGAAAAAAGAAAAACCAGGCATGATTTTAAAGTTCTTGGTTCTCGGTCTGAGAAGGATGATATCTAACATAAGGTGCTGACCTTGCATCCTGCCAGTCTGTCCTTTACTTAGTTCTCTCTCACCACAATGGCATCACTGCTGTTCCACACACGTGACAGATGCAGCCCAGCCTTAGGGACTTTGCACAGGTCTTCCCTCTGCCTGCGACACTCCTCCCCCACGTATCTGCATGGCTAAGTCCCTCAATACCTTTGCTCCAGTACAACTCTGTAGTGAGGCCTACCCCAACTACCCTATTTAATATTCGCTTGTCACCACTGCCACCCTCAACACACTTGTTCCCTCTTGCCCTGCTCTACATTTTTTATACCTTTTTTATACATTTTTATACCATCTTCTGGCATACTAAGTGACTTGCTTAGATATTATATTTATTGTTTACTGTCTGTATCCTCCAGCTAGAATATGAATTCTGTGTGCAGGGATCACTGTTTGTTTTGTTCATCTAGTAGATAATAAATACTTGCAGAATTAATGAATATCATAAAACCTGAGAAGTACAGTTTATGAATGGGACCACCACTTGAAGGGCTCCCACTTCAGCGGGTCTTGTAGGCTCTGTACCTGGTTCAATTTCTTGAACTCTACCACTTGGAAGAAGATGTGCTCAAGGATATGTTTGGCATCTTGTTGGTCCTTTGGTAGTTTACTGGTTACTCCAAGAATGTCACCACACTTCCTGACATAGAATTCCAGGTCTTCTTCAGTACCTAAGCACAGTTAGGGGAGTTAGATTAACTCAATTTCTGTCCTTCCCACAGTACAGATTTGGTATGTTTTAGGTATCCCCTATCAAGTTCCTACATCTCTCAAGATCACTCACCTCGCCTTGGGCTAATGTGACCACAGGACTTAAATTATGGTGATGAACTCTAGAGATTTCTGATATGCTGCTTTTATATTAGGACAAAAGTGTGACACCCCTAATCAGAATAAAGCTCGGCTGGTTCTGGCTTTCCTATTCCCCAGATCCAGCATTCCTACATTACAACGAACAGGAGCAACCAGCAGGAAATCAAGTTATTATTCTCTGAATGCAACAGGACCACTATGAGAAGGGCATATGAGTATTCTAAAATAGCAGTTATTACAGAAAAGAAAAAATCACCCATGATTCTACCAACAACAATCTCTGTGAAGTGTCTCCAGGAGCCCTACATTTAGGATGGACAGCCATTACTGTCCTTCTCCCACTGTACTGTAATTTCTTTCCTTTTTTCACCTCTAATTTGCATTTTTTAAAGTTAGGATAGAAATGTAAATTTTTTTGAAGATATTCAACTATAAAGCTGTAACAATCTCTCATCCTAGCTCTACCCCCACCAATACTACCTAGAGTAATTATTGCTCTGTATTCCTCTGTGTGTAAATACAAGTTTCACAAAAATGGAATCAAACTACAATAGTTCTGTAAGTTGCCTTCATAATTTTATGAGGTATCATAGACATTCCATGTCAAAGCTTATGATCTATATCTTTCTTTTAACAGACGTATAATAATTCACTTTATTTCATAATTTTTAATCAATCCCCGTACTGATGGATGAACCATTAGAATTCTTAGAATTTTTTAATGCTACAATTAATATCTATATAGGTACATCGTTTTTGTTGTGCATTTCTACAAGGATTTCCACAGGATAAACTGCAGAAATGGAAAAGCTGAGTCAAAGCATCGGATTCTTCACAGGCCTGTTATTCCTACTGAACTAATCACTATGTCTTGCTAATTGTCGACTGCCCCGCACCCACCACAATGCCTGGTACAGAGCAGAGGTGTGGTAAAGGTGTTTTATTTACATTATACTATTTCCATTTTTGCATATGCCTTTCAGGTTTCGGGGCACTTACAGATGTTGTTTATACAGTTGGGATACTACTGTGAGTGGTTTTAATACTTCCTTTCTTCACTTAGGATCCTCTCCTAAATTCTGTCTGTGTTATTCCCTGGCCTTTGTAAACTTCTTTCATAACTCCTACATATTATCCCATCAATTGAATGTCACACAATTGGCTACTATTCTCCTGGTAGTGGACACTAAGGATATTCTCAGTTTTATTGTATTTTTTAAATAAATAGTGTAGAATTCACCTGTGTACCTTCATTCATCTCCTTAGATTAGATTCCTAGGAATGAGGTCACTGCTTCAAAGTGGATGACTAATTTAATGCCTCTGAGCATATGTGTGCAGGCCCATGCTGTGCTGAAGGCAGTGTGTGTCAGGAGTCAAGAGTCAGGAGGACCACTCACATGGAGCTGTGTGGCCCAGGCCTCATTTCCTCATCCACATGTCAAGGCAGGCACACCTGTCTTGCCAGGATCCTGTCCACTTTGAAGTCTCCATGATTCTTTTGGTCTTGACTCAGTTTTCTTATTTAACTTCTCCTGTGACCAATGACCTAGATTTGCTAGGTCAGGATTGATCATGGGATCATCCATTGGTCAGAACTAAGGACCTAGAGGAATCAAAGCTGAGACCTTTGGCTTTCTGCTTAGCACCATGTTCTAACTCACTAAGCTAATCAGTCTTGAGAAAAATAACCAACATCATTTATATGAAATAAATAAAAATTGTTACTTTATATACCTGTTCATATTTTGTTCTCCTGAAACTCTAAACTTTTTCTCTCACAGCAAATCTCAGAAGTTCATAGTTAAATAAAACTCATAAAACAAAATTTTAAAATTGGCCAAACTTACACTTATTGGTAATCTGAGCAAGCCGTGCCTTCTCAGAAGAAAACGTCTCATCTAAGTCAAATAGCTCCAGAGGAGGAGGTGGTAATTCCCTGAAACTAGGAGGGAAAACCTAAAAGGAAGTAAAGTCTTTTATGAAAGGGCTTATCCAAAGCCATAACTAACAGTGATGAAACACAAGGGAAATGAAAGGCCAACTCAGCCCTTCCCCTGGGATGAATCTCCTGAACTCCCATCACCTCCCACCCTCACCCAGTAGATCTGTATCAAGCCCACCCTAAGCAACTAAGTGGGACCCGCTCCAATTACACTACTAAACTGACCAAGCTGACATTTGTGTTGAACATTTGATTGCATGACTCTTTTCTCATTTAATCATGACTTCTTTAGGGACAGAAATTATTTGGAGAAGTAGATGTAGATTAGTGTAGAAAGTGCTGAACTTGGAGCCAGAATTCATAGGTATGAACCAATGGTGTGCCAGTATGTGTTTAACTGCTAGATCTTGAAACAAAACATGAGGTCTGAATTGTAGCATTTGCCACTTTCTGTGATGTAAATACTCCCACCATGGCCAATTTCAAACTACCAAGATGAAGCCAACTGGCTCATACCACTCCAGAATATGGTGGAACAGGACAATTTTGAAGGCAAGTTGAGTTAATGCTGGACTGAAAAGTTGAAAAATACCCTAGCTACACATGACTTATTCCCTCGGCTATTAGAATTGTGCTATGAATTTGAGCATCCAATGCCTGGAAAGGAAGTGCAAAGCTTTTCCTCCTTTTTACCCAGGAATTTTCATATATGCCCTCCAATCCCACAAGATGGGAAATGTTTAATAGCCAGAAAAGTCCATGTCCTTGATTCCTCATTGGGAACCATACCACACGGAAGTCCCTACAGAATACTAATGGGTTGGTGTCTGACCATGTTTAGAGGCAAAGTACCGCGACCCCATGGAGCGCCACCAATGGCATCTGGTAGGGGGCACAGAGAGGGCAAGCTGGCGAGGAAGGGCCAACAGTGGGGCTCTGCAGCAGGATGCCCCGAAGCACACCCACTCACCGCAGGCTGAAGGGCAGGCAGCGGTGTCTCAAACTGAGGTTGGATGAGCTGGAGTGGTTCATGTTTGACATTTAGCTGCTCATGAGCCCTGTGTTAATTAATAATAAAACAAAAAATCAGGATCAACATGAGACACTGTAGCAAAGCACCTCTAACTGACCACATTGCTGTGTTCTCCACCAAATATGGCAGTTCAGCACTCTTTTAGAAAAATATACAAAATGTGTTGTTATATTTGATGTAATGATCCTTTTTGGAATCTTCTCTACTGTATCATATAGCATTATTCATTGAGAACTAAAAGGAAAAATTTCTTTCATGTTTCATATCAGCCTTCTCCTAAATAGGCCTTTTGTTTTTACCACCAGAGATAGGAGTCAACCCTGAAGTCTGCTTCTGGCAAGTGAGCAGATCTGTACAATATGCATTCTATGTGCCCATTCACTCAGCAAATATTTACTGAATATCTACTATGTACCAGGCAGTTTTATATACCAGGAGTACGTACAGCAGCAGTGACAAAAGAGACTAAGGCAGGCCCTCGTGGAACTTACATTCGAGGGAGGAGAGACACACACTAAACAAAAAACCCAATAAGCTGCCAGGTATTGGTAAGTATTAAGAAGAAAAACAAATCAGGAGACAGGGAGAGAGACAGGGAAGAGGTGGGGAATATGGCTTGTCAGAGGAGCCCTGAGGGAGGGAGGGAGGGAGTCACATGGTTATCTTCAGAAGTGTCCCCGGCAGAGGCAAGAGCAAGGCAGACAGGCAGAAGGGTGTTGGGCATTTTCATGGGACAGCAGGACAGCCAGAGTGGCTGCAGCAGAGAAAGAGTGGTAGGAAGGAGTTACAGAATTAAATGCTAATCTTATCCTGGGTTATTTTTCTATTGTTGCTTCTCTTCTGCCTTCATCCTCTCGAACATTCATTTTATCCTTTTGCATTGCACATAATTTTGTAAGCTGGCTGAACTCTTCTAAGGAAGAGGCAAATTAAAATATACTCATCCAAGGGCCGGCCCGTGGCTCACTTGGGAGAGTGCAGTGCTGATAACACCAAGGCCACGGGTTCGGATCCTATATAGGGATGGCCGGTTAGCTCACTGGCTGAGCGTGGTGCTGACAACACCAAGCCAAGGGTTGAGATCCCCTTACTGGTCATCTTTAAAAAA